TGTTCCTCATGCTGTAGATGACCGGATTCATCAATGGAGGCACCACAGAATACAGAACAGCTGCCAGGAGATCCAGAGGGGACGGGGAGTCAGAGATGGGCTTCGTGTAGGCAATGCCACCAGTGGAAAGAAATAGGGAGACCACAGTAAGGTGAGGAATGCAGGTGGAGAAGGCTTTCTGCCGGCCCTGCTCAGAGGGTATTCTCCACACAGCGGTGAAGATGTGAACATACGACACAACGATGAAAATAAAACAGCCTAATGCTAAAAACACACTGAAGACAATTGCTGCCAGCTCTCTGTGGTATGTGTCAGAGCAAGAGAGCTTGAGCAGCTGGGGCACTTCACAGAAGAACTGGTTGATGATATTTGAGTGGCAGAAGGGGAGACTAAAGGTGTTCCCCGTGTGCAGTGCAGAGTTGATGACACCAGCAGCCCAAGCACTGGCAACCATCTGGACGCAAGCTCTCCTGTTCAATATTATCTCATAATGCAGTGGTTTGCAGATGGCAATGTACCGGTCGTATGCCATGATGGTGAGGAATGAAAAATCAGCTGAACAAAAGAGGAACAAGAGAGAGACCTGGGACATGCATCCAGCATAGGAAATTGTCCTGGTGTTTAGGAGAGAATTGGCCATGGACTTCGGGACTATGACAGAGATGGATCCAAGGTCAAGGATGAACAAATTTACCAAAAAGTAGTACATGGGGCTGTGGAGGTGGTGGTCCATAGTTACAACAGTGATAACAAGGAGGTTCCCCACCAGAGCTGCCAGGTATGCTGCGAGAAAGATGACAAAGTGTAAGATCTGCAGCTGCCGAGTGTCAGAGAAGCCCAGGAGGAGAAACTCAGTTACAGTGGTCCAGTTGGACACCTTCCTTCCCGGGGCACCGTGCAAGTCCTGGGTATAATAGAACAAGGGCAGTGGTAAGGAGGAGAGTAACAAACTCAGTGGCTTTGATATTTCCATGAATAATGTCTCCAAATTCCATGGTAAGAATGTAAATATTCCAATTTTTGCCTCATGGAAAATTTGATTTTAATAAATTATTTTTCCATGGCAAGACGCTACATAAAATAAAATATTTTGATATTCCATTTAGAAAGAGAAGAAAATGTTAGCCCAGCCATGAATCAGGATTTTTTTTTTTTTTTTAAATCCAAAAGTCTATAATTTATCTATCTGACCTAGAAAATGTATGCTGGAAACAAATACATGTGAAATAAAAGATATATAAAATTTGACTTCCTTAGCGTTCCTATTCCCACCCCACCTTCCACCCAACTCCCACTAAGCTGTATAACTTTATCTGAATTAATAGCAAAAACAGTGAAACATTCTTCATTTTTCATTCACTCTTTTAGTTTTGAATCTATGCTACATAAAATGCAGTATGATTTATGGAGCCAGGTTTTCCAACTTTAATGTTTTTAATTGTCATCTGCATCTTCCTAAGACATGAGACTTCACTGATACAGAAAACTTACTGAATTTGTTTTTGTGGAAATGTCCTGATTTTGTGTCATATTCAGGCTTCCTTTGTTGAGATCCTTTGCTCTTGTCCAGTTTATCTCTGAGCTCTCCTTTGCACTGTGGTATAAAAAAAAGCAAAGGCCTTAAACTTAGATAAAAAAAAAAAAAAACATTGTAAAGATAAAACAAAAGGTGTTGTGTAAAAGTGTGGGCTAAGAAAAGAGGAAGAATGTCTGGCTTTGTGGTAATCAGCGGTTACTGAGACGGCAAGAAAAGAGTGTTTTGTAATAAAGAAATTAAAATAATGTTTTTGTAATTGTTACTGCAGCTAGGTTCCTAAAAAAATCACTATATGTTCATGTGAATTGTAGGTGGCTGTTAGAAAGGTGTATAAGCCTTTTGCTTTAACGTTTAAGGAGGGAGCCCCCTCCAAGTGCATGGTGAATCCATTTCACTTTGAGCCCCTCCTACAGCTGTAGCTCTAGCCAAATTAAGCTTCTGCTGACCTGACCCAAAAGTCTGCTGCGTGCGTTTTCCACGACAGCACTGACCACTAGTCTAGATCCCCAGAAGCACAGATAACTCAGGTCTTTCTCTGCTCCCTCTGTCACCGAATGACTGGAGTAAATCCAATCAGGTTTCTGAGTGTGCATCTGACCTCAACCCCACATTGTAGAAAAGGAGTGAAGCAAGATGGCAATTTTGCTGTTGTTTTCTTCCAAAGGCTCATGGGACTCGATCCCTGGAGTCCTGCACAGCTCAGACGGAAAACCCAGATGTAAACAGTCTGAGCTGTACAGATGTTAGCAGAACAGCACAGCTGTGCTCTGGTTTAATCTCCCTCACAACACAAGTCATGGGATCTCTGAGAAGACCCTGAGCTTCTCTGTCCAGCTCTGTTGTCCCAGTTAGCCAGCCTTGGCACCTTAGCATGCAGGGAGGCACCAAGTTGCAATTGGGTTAGTTCCTATGCAGTTTTGCATGAGAAAATAACATGAGAATAAATGTCAGGTTGTAAGGTGCAAAAGAAATAATTTTAAATATAATTAATATATTCCATAACTCAGATAAACAAGCTCCATTGCCAGGCATCACATTGACAAACTATTAGCTCAGCAATTATTAGCAGGGTCATGGTTCTGAATCTACTGTCATGAATTTGACAGCCCTTCATATCACTTTCCCTTGAGTCATATACATCCCAGGTCCCAGCTCCCCCTCATTTCTTCCACCATCAGCTTCCCTTAAACCCAGCGGTGTCAAACACAGATAGACCCCATATGCCACATCAAGCCCACAGGGGTGGTGTAGTGGAGGCACTGCATGCAACGTGCATGGTGGACTGACTACATCTGGTGCTTGCACCATGTGTACAGCTCTAGCCCTGCACACCACACACAGCACACAACAGCCCCAGCACCGTGCACAGCCTAAGATGTGAGGGGCCAGCCTGTGGCACATGTTACCCACAGCAGGTCACTGAGGGTGCAGATTACATATGGCATTGGCAATGCATAGGGGATGTACATGGGAGCATGTGGACCTCCTGAGATTGGTGGTTCACCCTGTGCAAGAAGCACCGCCGGTCCCTGTAGGCAGTTGCCACTTGCCAGTGCCCCCTCTCCCCCAACTGTCAACACTGTCAACAGTATCTCTGGCCGGTCGCTGATCGCTACTGGCCGCTGCCAACATGGTCTGTAGGCAGTTGCCACTTGCCAGTGCCCCCTCTCCCCCAACTGTCAACACTGTCAACAGTATCTCTGGCCGGTCGCTGATCGCTACTGGCCGCTGCCAACATGGTTGGTGATGTCTGCGGGTGGTCAGTACTTGCCACTCCCCCTGCCCTGCCGCTGACACTACCATGGCTACCTGCAGGAGCTCCCCATTTGCTGCCATCACCCCTGCCTGCAGGCAGTCACCATTCTCCCACAGCTTCCGGGGGGCACGTGTCGTTCGTGGCATGTTGCATTTGCACCAGGCTAGGTGTGTCTATACGAGATTCTAGGTCAGTGCAGCGATGAGTTACGGCGATATTGTTCATCCCTGTGGCAGCGTAGTGTTGGCAGGCCCTAAACATGATGCTGCCGCTACTGTGCAGTAGCAATGAGCTACTGAGCACTACCTCATTGCTACTGCACAGTAGGGTTTGAAATGTTCCATGCCCCTTCAGGACTGTGCGGTCATGGTGGGTACTGCATGTTCATTTAGTTCTCATTAAAGCAAGTAGTACATGACTGCACAGTAAAAACTGCCCACGTCTGGGGCAGACCTGTAGCTGACTGCACACTGGATCCTGCGTGCAGGATGGGTCAATGAGCCCAATGTAGACAGACCCCCAGTCTAATACACAGGGCTCGCCTGGCACAGGTGCCACATCAAGCATATATCCCCATGCAGCCTCATGCCACGTACAGCCCATGCCAGGCAGGCTCCACAAGGAGCATCAAGAGATCAGAGACTCGTTCATGGACCTGATTTCTCTTGATCCAAACCTGACAGATGCCAGAGCCTGATCTGACAATGTGTGTCTCTGTCCTTCAGTCTCCATGCTAACTTACTGTACTGGCAGCTCCCACTTGGGACAGAGGTTGGTTGGAGTCCAGCAGCTAGAAGATTTATGGTGTTTGGAATTCGCTCTCTTCATGGATGTTCCTATGGCCAGAAACTATGATCCCATCATGAGAGAAATTTTCAAGTATCAGCCTTTCTCAATCCCCAGTTTGGGATTTATTTTATTTTTTCATGAACCAAACAGTCCCAAAATATTTCATTTTGACCTTATCAGTTTTGTCTGGAGTTTATCACAGCAGTTGGCAATCTAAAGCCCATGACACCATTGTATCCACCCTGTGGAGAAAGGTCTTTTGGTAACAGAGGTCTTTTCTTACTCTGCACTGTGCTGTACTGCAGCTGGGCAGCAAAAAAAAAAAAACAGCACTGATGAAAAGTGGTAGTAGTCACCTGGTTTTGGTATCAACCTAGTTTTCACCAGAGCTGGGTCAATCTCACCTAAAAATGGAAAATGTTGGTGATCCCCTGCTCTATCATATTGATGTGTCCATTACATAGTGTTACACAGATATCCCAATAGCCCTTCTTGCAACCTTCAAGAAAAAAAGTGGCTTTGTCTTCCTAATGTGAAAGCTATCACTTTCTGAATGCATGTTTGATTGGGAAGCTCCTTGATATCACAGTTATAATTCTTGACCACCATCTCCACAGCCCCATGCACTTCTTCCTGATGAATCTTTCTATCCCAGACCTTGGAACTATCTCTGTCACCATCTCAATATCCTTAGCCAATTCTCTGCTGAACACTAAGTCCATGTTCTGTGCTGGATGTGTCATCCAAGTCCTTTTCTTCTTGTTCTTTCTTGCAGCTGACTTCCCTTTCCTCACCATCACAGCACATGATAGATGCACTGTCATCTGCAAAACACTGCACTATGAGACAATCTTGAACAGGAGAGCTTGCATCTAAATGGCAGCCAGTGCATGGATTTTTGTTTTTCTATATTCTGCCCTGCACAGTGGTAACATCTTTAGTGTATCTTTCCCAGAAGCTAATATCTTCTGTGAAATCCCTCAGCTAATCCAGCTCACTTGCTCTGTCTTGTACCATACACACCTTGAGATAATTGCTGTTGGTGTTTGCATAACTTTAGATCTGTTTTCTTTTCATAATAGTATCATACATTCAGATCTTCAACACAGTTCCCATCTGAGCAAGGACAGCACAAAGACTTCTCACCTTCCTTCCTCACCTCATTCTGGTCTCCTTGCTTATAAGCATGTGTACCTTTCCCTATATGAAACCTATCTCCAGCTCCCTATCAGCTCTAGACCTCATAGAAACCATGATCCATTCCATGCTGGATCCAATAATCAATCCAGTTATGTACAGCAGTGGGGAGGGAAGAAGTAGGAGGGTTGTGGGGGGGGGGGTGCAGATTGAGGGCCCAGCCCTACCCCTATCCCCACTCCCTCCCTCACTGCTGGGGCTTCAATCGCTCCCACCAAAGGCAATGAGGAGGGGAAAACCCTGCACTGCCTGGGCAGGGAGGGAACAGAGTCAAGAGCGGCTCATCTTGGGGCATGGGAAGTTGAGGCATGCAGCCCTGGAGGGCAGGGGGGGCATGTGCCCCCAGATCTGTATTCAGGGGCTGCATCCATGCCTCACCCTATCCCTCCATAGTCTGAAGGGTGGTGTGCTGCACACCACTTTAGGAAATCCTGCATCCACTCATGGATGATCCCATTTTTATCATGACTTCTGTAGTATGCTCTGTCTTTACTGATATAATCAACTTGTAGCATAATTGTCTCCATGATAACCAGATATATCCATGCCATCCTTTTATGAAAGCTGAGGTAATTTAGAAAGGTAAAAATCTAGACTACCTCTACCAAATCTAGTTCTCATTCTTGCTTTTTCCAATCCCTGGTTTCCAATGTCCTTGCACAGGATTCTATGGAGTCTATTGAAGGTTCCTGAA